ACAAGCCAATTAAGTCGCATAAATATGCTCCTATCAGCGTGTGTCTAAACAAAAAAAATCGAAATAAGTTGGAAAAGTCATCAAACAGGACACGTGTCAACACCTGGCAGAAACGACTTATTTCATCTGGAATATTATATTCAAAATTATGCCTTGGAAAATTCTATAAATAGAAGGCTAATTCATTCATTTGAGGGAAGAATCAAAAAATCATTAGGCAAAATTCTTGAAGTTCTGAAGCTTTGAAACTCCGAAGCTCTCAAGCATCTAGGTTCCCGAAGAATCAAGAAAGCTCTCTTCGTTCTTCGTTCTTCGTTCATCGTTCTTCCAAGATCACGCCCCAACGGCCCTTTGGATCAACAATCATCCACCAATTCAAGATCAAGCCTCGACGGCCCTCGAAGAAAGTGTTCTTCGTTCTTCGTTCATCGTTCTTCCAAGATCAAGCCCCAACGACCCTTTGGATCAACAATCATCCACCAATTCAAGATCAAGCCCCGACGGCCCTCGAAGAAAGTGTTCTTCGTTCTTCGTTCATCGTTCTTCCAAGATCAAGCCCCAACGTCCCTTTACACCAACAATCATCCACCAATTCAAGATCAAGCCCCGACGGCCCTCGAAGAAAGTGTTCTTCGTTCTTCGTTCATCGTTCTTCCAAGATCAAGCCCCAACGGCCCTTTACACCAACAATCATCCACCAATTCAAGATTAAGCCCCGACGGCCCTTGGATCAACAAGCCACCGTTCTTCAAGATCAAGCCCAAAAGCCCTTGAAGATCCGTTCATCACTGTTTTTCAAGATCAAGCCCAAAAGCCCTTGAAGATCCGCTCATCACCGTTATTCAAGATCAAGCCTCAACGGCCCTTGAAGAAACACTCATCCTCAAGATCAAGCTCCAACGGCTCCTTGAAGATTCGCTCAAATCCACCTTCAAAGATCAAGCCCACAGCCTCTTGAAGAAACTTCTAACAGTTCATCCAAGATCAAGCCTCAACGACCCTTGGATCAACGAAACATCCACAAATCAACACCTTATAGAGATCGAATCAGAGGATCAAATTTGAGAGAGATTGTAACCCAAAATCATCAAATACAAAATATTTGTTTGTGCGTGTTGTTCTTGTCTCTTTCATTTCAGGAAATTTCTGTGTTCACAAATTGGCACTCCCAGTGGGACAATCTCTACCTCTCATCTCTTTCTCCGTTCAAGGAATCCAAACACACCTCAAAATCAATGGCATCAAGCAAGGGACAAGCCGTTCTCGCAACCACTGAGGGAAGGATCCTAAGCACTTCTGCCGCAAACGGACAATCCATTGGCACCACAACCGCTCTTTAACATGCCACTTCAAAGTTGGTGCCGCTAAAAGAGCAAGGGGAGCATCAAAGGTGTGAGTCTGTCATCAACCTGACCTCGCTGGGGGCACCGAAGCATGTTGCTGAGGCACACAAGATGACATCCCAAAACAGCCAACGACGTTCTTCGTCAGCATCTTGGATGTCTAAAGGAAAGTCATGTCTATTGGTTGCACAAGTCATGACCATCGGCGTTACCTTCATCGAAGAACAATTGGCTCAAATAAATGAAGCAATCGCAAGGCTAACCCGAACTGTGAAAGAAAAAGACTTGCAAATTGCAGCACTAGTTAACCGATTGGAGGCACATGACGGCGAGAAACCCGACCCAGAAGATGAGCCTACGGTGGAGAGAATCGATGCGAAGCCAGAACCAGACCAAGCAGCGGCACTTATGGGATCTCTTTCTATCCAGCAGCTGCAAGAGATGATCACCAACACCATTAAGGTACAGTACGAAGGGAGCTCAAATACCTCCGGGTTGTACTCGAAGCCGTATTCAAGGAAAGATCGACGCCTTAAGGATGCCGAGGGGTTATCAACTGCCAAAGTTCATGCAGTTCGATGGAAAAGGAAACCCAAAGCAGCACGTTGCACATTTCGTCGAAACTTGCAACAACGCAGGGACGGAGGGAGACTACCTCGCCAAGCAGTTTGTGCGCTCGCTGAAAGGAAACGCCTTTGAGTGGTACACGGACCTAGAGCCTGAGTCCATCAACAGCTGGGAGCAATTGGAGCGGGAATTCCTCAACCGCTTCTACAGCACTCGCCGCACTGTGAGCAAGCTAGAGCTAACGAGCACAAAGCAGTGGAAGGACGAGCCAGTCATTGACTACATCAACAGATGGCGCACTCTAAGCCTCGACTGTAAAGACAGGCTCTCGAAAACCTCTTCAATCGAGATGTGCATCCAATGCATGCAATGGGGTTTGCAATACATCCTTCAAGGCATCAAACCACGGACCTTCGAAGAGCTAGCCACTCGTGCCCATGACATGGAGTTGAGCATCGCCCATCATGGGAAGAAAGAACCGATCGCCGACTACAAGGACAACAAAGTTCTTGGGACAAAGGTGGAAAAGGCTGCATGGAAACCCACCAAAGAGACAATGACGGTCAACACAGCTCCCGTCAAAATCTCCACACGAGGCAAAGCGATTCAAACCGAAGCTTTTCGTGATCAAGAGATGCGTAGACACACTTTGAAGGAGCTTGAAGAGAAGACTTATCTCTTCCTCGACTCTGATGTGGTTACCATGTTGGATGACCTGTTGGACAAGAAGGTGATCAGTTTGCCTGAGTGCAGACGGCCGGAAGAAATGAATCGTACCGACAACCCAAGATACTGTAAATTCCACCGCTTCATCAGTCATCCAACGGAAAAATGCTTCGTACTGAAAGATCTCATCCTGAAGCTAGCACAACAAGGGAAAATCGAGCTTGACCTCGAAGACACGGTTGCGGTACACACTACTACTATCGTGTTTGGATCACTCGATCATGTGCCTCTCCGAAGCATGCATGACCATTCCCGTCAATGTTCAAGTCACACGGCATTTCCTACACAACCATCACCGGGGGCAAGCAACCAAGATGCATCTACCGGTAATAAGGAATGGTGGACATCGGCGACCTACAAAAAAACAAGGAAGCCAAGACCACAAGCCACAAGGCCAAAAGAGGAGCCTAAACCCACCCCTCGAACTTTAGTCTTCGACCGGCTGGATCATTCAAAACCTAGAATTTCGGCACTTGATCGCATCAGTGGTCGAGACCGAACTTCCGTCTTCAAAAGGCTTAAGACGCCAACACCGCAAAGATCTGTTTTTGAAAGGTTATCAAAACCCAAGAAACAAAGCGGCAAAGCTAGATCTCCCCCACAACAGTCGGCTGCGGACAGACTTGAAGAAACTAACAAGTCTTCTAGAAACAGGAAGACAACACCAAAGGGAGAAAAGCTCGACAGTCTAGCAAGAAAAGATGATGTTCAAAGCTTGATTCCTTTAAGGATGAAGCGCCAAGCAACTTTGGAAGTCAACACAAAAGGACCACTGAAGGTAAGGAGGCGCACCATCATCTACACCAGCCAATCTTCACGCCAACAAACCCAAGAGGATCGCACTGAAGAAAAGGCCCAAGAAGACAAAGAAGACAAAATCCCTGAAGAAAACCTCACTTCCGGCTCTGTCAACTCAAAATCTTCACCTCAATCGCTGGGGGCATGCTCCAAAACCATGCCAGTTAAGCCAAGCGAAGTTGAAGGATGGATTCATGTCACTCCGAAGAAACTGCACAAGAAGCATATGTCTTCTCCACAAGTGCACCAATCAGAAAGGGGGCAAAACAGCTTTCGTCAACCTCCAGAACAATGTGAAAGTGTTGGAGATAATGAAACTTTGACACAAAGATCATCCATCCCCATCACGATGTGTGACATCTTTCCTGAAGACTTCTTAAACTACTCAGTCAAGGCTCCTTGCTATGAAGATTGCGAGGAACAACTCTCCCGGATTGCTTGACAAAATTCACAAATTCTCCTCGCCCACACGAGTCTAAACTGCATGGCACAAAGCTCCTAGTCTGCACGAGCATAAAAGGCAAACACCAATGCTCCTTGTTCGCACGAGCCTAAACTGCACGAACCAATGCTCCTCGCTTGCACGAGCCTAAACTGCATGGCACTAAGCTCCTGGTCTGCACGAGCATAAAAGGCGACACCAAAGCTCCTTGTTCGCACGAGCCTAAACTGCACGAACCAAAGCTCCTCGCCTGCATGAGCCTAAACTGCATGGCACAATGCTCCTGGTCTGCACGAGCATAAAAGACGACACCAACGCTTCTGGTCTGCACGAGCATAAAAGGCAACACCAACGCTCCTGGTCTGCACGAGCATAAAAGGCAACACCAACTCTCCTCGCCCGCATGAGTCTAAACTGCATGGCACAAAGCTTCTGGTCTGCACGAGCATAAAAGGCAACACCAACGCTCCTGGCCCGCAAGAGCATAAACTGTGTACGGCAAAATCATCATCAAAATCATCATCAAAATCACTGTTAAATTCATCACTCATTTGAACTACGTTTTAACTTGATCTTTTTCTTAGAAAGGGTACGTAGGCAGCTCGAGCATTCAATTTCGAGTTCAGTCACATCAAAATAAAAAAATTAATGTTTTATTAATGAAAGTCAATTTCATTACAAGAAAAAGAATACATATGTGATTACTAGGTATTTAAAAAAAAGGATGGTGCACCCAGCACCAAAAGATAGTGGAGATTATAATTATATATGTACATATGTCTTGGGTGCATCCAGCATTGGAAAAAAAAAAAGGGAAGTGATGGTGCATTTGGCACCATTAAAAAAAAAGATATATATATATATATATGTATGTATGTATGTGTTTCTCGGCCCAATGCCATCATCAATTCCACTTTTGTAAGCAGTTGTCTTCAAGAACCTTCCACCACTTCTACGCCCGCCTATCTCTGATGTCGAAGCAGCGGATCAACTCCTTGGACAATTACTGCAGCATCTTCCAAGTTGTCTTCCACGGAGTCATTAATATGTAGCTGCCGAACCAGTGGCTTTGGGACATGGCCAATGAGTTCATCTTTCAGCTCTAGAGCTTCTGTTAGGGCAAAGATTCGAGCTTTCAGGCACCGAGACACTGGGAACACCTTGAAGCTCAAGACCCAGGACTCAGATTTTCGCTTTTAGCAACTTGTAAGAATGGAAGACACCTTCTTGTTTACTTCGGAGTCCGTGAACGAGGGACACCCCGATAAACTCTGTGATCAGATTTCTGATGCGGTTCTCGACGCCTGCCTCGAACAAGACCCTGACAGCAAAGTTGTCTGCGAGACTTGCACCAAGACGAACATGGTCATGGTCTTCGGAGATATTACAACCAAAGCCAAAGTGGACTACGAGAAGATTGTGCGTGATACCTGCCGTACAATTGGATTTGTATCAGACAATGTTGGTCTTGATGCTGACAACTGCAAGGTCTTGGTTAACATCGAGCAACAAAGCCTTGATATCGCGCAGGGCGTCCATGGCCACTTGACCAAGCGGCCTGAGGAGATTAGTGCGGGTGACCAGGGTCACATGTTTGGTTATGCAACTGATGAGACCCCTGAGCTTATGCCTCTGAGCCATGTTCTTGCCACCAAGCTTGGTGCCCGTCTCACTGAAGTTCGCAAGAATGGAACCTTGCCGTGGCTGAGACCCGATGGCAAGACGCAAGTCATTGTTGAATACTACAATGACCATGGCGCTATGGTTCCAATCCGTGTCCACACGGTTCTCATTTCCACTCAACAACACATGGAACTCGGACACACCAGGGGCTATGACTCCACCACAGCAGCTGCGCGATCACCAGCTCCTCGGCGCCAAGTTCTTCTCTCGTTGCAGCCAGACCCGCCTTCTCCGACCTTGTTCATTCTCTCGCCCCATCCACGTATATATATATATATATATATATATATATATATATATATATATATATATATATATCAAAGTGGTTGGTGTGCTGTCATATTTTGTGGAAGCCAACTCCAACGCACTCTGCATAAATAAATAAAAAAAAGAGGTCGTGGTGGACGGCTAAAATATATATATATATATATATATATATATATATATATATATTAAAAGAAGAAGAAGAAATCGCGGTGGACAGCACCATATATAAAAAAATAAAAAATAATAAATAAAAAACAAGAGAAAGGGTCATGGTGCGGTATGATTATGGTGGCCATCATCTAGTTAGTGGTGGTGGTGTGAGCACCACAGAAAACAAAAAAAAAAAAAAAAAAAAAAAAAAAGCATTGAGAGAAATAGAAGTCCATTTTATTTATTTTTCTAGAAATTTTACATAAATTTGCATTATACATACCTTTAAAAATTAAAAAAAAAATCAAATCAAATCAAATTTACAAGAGGGATCTTCAAGGACGATCAGGTGGCGCCTCACCACTCGGTAGAGCTCTAGAAATGAGAGGCGCCGGAGGTTGACTGTTTGAAGCCACACCACTCGGCGGAACCCCAGGAAGAGAAGGCACCGAAGGTTGATCATTTGAGGCTTCATTACGCGGTACAGCCCCAGAAGACGAAGGCAAATGCTGCTGGAACAAACCCACAAACCTCTGATAATCAAGTAAAATCTGACCATCAGATTCCTGCATCTGGTCAATCTTCCTCTTCATGTTTGTCGCATAGCTATGTGCGAGCTTATGCAATTGTTTATTCTCCTGCTTGAGCCCTCTAATCTCCTGTTTGAGACTCGTCATTTCAGCTGCCAATGATTCAACTTGACGGGTTCGAGCAAATAGGCGTTGGGCCATATTAGACACAGAACCTGCACACTGCACACTGAGAGCCAGAGAATCCTTAACAGCCAACTCATCAGACCATTTAGAAAGTAGTCTGTTATCTTTGGGAGTGACAAGGTTTCGGGCCACCACCGCAGCGGTCATATCATTATTCACCACCGAATCCCCAACGGTAAGAGTACCAGTAGGGGATATGAAGGATGGGCGCCATATGTTGTCTGGAGAAGGCAGGACTGCCTCTTCACCAAGATTCAAATCAAAACGACTGTCGGAGGGTCCAGACATTTTCAAAGGTGTTGAAGGAAGAAGAGGTAGGATAAATCAAGATCTTAGAAGTACAAGAAGGGAGTTTCTACAAGCGAAAATTCAAGTGTGCTTTGAAACGAACTGCGTGCCTCTATAAAAATCAGCACTCGACGGGATTTCAGAGATCGAAGAGGCCAATTCAAAAATCAAAGAGGTGCTAGCTTTCTCAAAAGCTGGGCTTGCTCGAAAACCACGGGCCAATCTTCTTTTCCAGACTTGTCCGCACTTGTCATATGCAACCTCTGCACTCGACGAGGCTCAGAAATCGAAGAGGCCAATTCAAAAAAATCGAAGAGGCAAGCTCAGAAATCGGAGAGGCATCTTGCTTTTCCAGACACGTCAGCACCCGTCACACACAAACTCAGCTTTGCAGAAATCACGGGCAATTTGTCGAAGCGCCGATCCCAGATATCGAAGAGGCGCCAGTCTTTTTCAGCCGCGTCAACACCTGTCATATGCACACTCAACTTTGCACAAATCACGGGCAATTTGTCGAAGATTTTCGGTGAAAGAGAAAACACGTGAAGTTTACTGTTCAATCATCCAACGGTTGCCGACAAGAGTGAAAGAACAGTACCAGTTATTAATCCATATAAATGTCCACCTTCACCCTTCATAGCAAGGCAGACATACAGAACCTTTCTTCATCTCCGAGAATGCCTTCCCAACGAAGCCTCTCGGGTCACTCAGTGTTCCTTATTCCTTGGGGTACCTCTGCAAGCCAATGACTCCAAAGCAAAAGTATCTCATATCACCAGGGTAGAAAGCAAAAGTATCTCATATCATGCGTTCTCCCTGTCCTTTCCTTTGTCCTTGTTCCTACCTACAAAGACAAGGATAAAGAAAACAATATGCCGGAACTTCCACTCAAACTCGGGTAAGGAACCGACTGCTGGGAACCCTTCCCTGATTGCCTACCTAGCACTGCTCTCGAGTACTCGTCTCCCACTACTGCTGTACTTCCAAAGAAGCTGCCACATCTGCCTGAAGAACAGATAAGGCAAGTGAAAATGATACCTTGCAGCACTTGGAGACAACGTGCAGAAGAAACAAGCAGAGAAGAATGCAGCTAAACAGTCAACTCAGCAGAAGGAGTCTGAGATGAGGAACTCGAGAAGATGCCACATCTGCCTGAGGAACAGATAAAGGAAATGAAAATGATACCTTGAAACATGTGGAGACAAGTGCAACAAAGCACGTGCTGAGTCATCCGCTACTTCTTCAAAATCAAAAGTATCTTATATCATCAGGGTTACAATCATTTTGGACGGTGAATTCGTTTTGACCCTCAAATTCTTGGGTCGGCTTACTAGGCGTTGTGAGCTGCACATGTCGATTCACCACCCTTGAATCAAATCCTTAAAGATCAAGTCACCAACTGGAAGAAGAGCCCATCAATCTTGAAGATCATACCGTTGACCAAACTGCTCAGGTGTGAATTAGAAAGAATGAACAAAGCAACAAGTCGTCACCTTCACCTCGTGCATGCTTGCCATGTGTTCGAGTCAACCTTCAAGAATCAAGCCTCAACGGCCCTTGAAGAAGCTTCCAGCCAAATTCAAGATCAAGCCTTGACGGCTCTTGAGGAAATCACAAGTCCGATTCAAGATCAAGTGTCTACCACCCTTGAATCAAAACCTAGTTCAAGAATAAGCTGTGGAAAATCAACAATTGGAGGAATCCAGAAAATCCTCCAACCTAGTTCAAAATCAAAGCTGTGGAAAGTCAACAAAGCGCAAAAAAAACAAATACGTGCCGATTCATCCACTACCAAAGCCAAAGATCATCTACCACATGAAGCTCCTTGTGGTCCAATTTCAACCTTCAAGATCAAGTCTCGACGGCGCTTGAAGAAATTTCAAACAAAAGTTCAAGAACAAGCCTTAACGGCCCTTGAAGAAATCTCAAGCCCAATTCAAGATCAAGCTTCGACGGCCCTTGGATCGACATCTACAGTAAGGGACTTCAAAACGCATCTCCTACACGCGACAAGCACATGTATACAACGCGTCTTGAAGTGGGGGTATTTGTAGACATCGAAATTTCGGTAAATAAATGTTGACCGATAAATCAAAGTTTCAACGCTCATGTATTACATAAATTTTACACGTAGCATCTGTCTAAACAAAAAAAATCGAAATAAGTTGGAAAAGTCATCAAACAGGGGCAGTAACGACTTATTTCATCTGGAATATTATATTCAAAATTAGGCCTTGGAAAATTCTATAAATAGAAGGCTAATTCATTCATTTGAGGGGAGAACCAAAAAAAAATCATTAGGCAAAATGCTTGAAGTTCTGAAGCTCTGAAACTCCGAAGCTCTCAAGCATCCAGCTTCCCGAAGAATCAAGAAAGCTCTATTCGTTCTTCGTTCTTCGTTCATCGTTCTTCCAATATCAAGCCCCAACGGCCTTTTGGATCAACAATCATCCACCAATTCAAGATCAAGCCCCGACGGCCCTCGAAGAAAGTGTTCTTCGTTCTTCGTTCATCGTTCTTCCAAGATCAAGTCCTAACGGCCCTTTACACCAACAATCATCCACCAATTCAAGATCAAGCCCCGACGGCCCTTGGATCAACAAGCCACCGTTCTTCAAGATCAAGCCCAAAAGCCCTTGAAGATCCGTTCATCACTGTTCTTCAAGATCAAGCCCAAAAGCCCTTGAAGATCCGCTCATCACCGTTATTCAAGATCAAGCCTCAACGGCCCTTGAAGAAACACTCATCCTCAAGATCAAGCCCCAACGGCTCCTTGAAGATTCGCTCAAATCCACCTTCAAAGATCAAGCCCACGGCCCCTTGAAGAAACTTCCAACAGTTCATCCAAGATCAAGCCTCAACGGCCCTTGGATCAACGAAACATCCACAAATCAACACCTTACAGAGATCGAATCAGATGATCAAATTTGAGAGAGATTGTAACCCAAAATCATCAAATACAAAATATTTGTTTGTGCGCGTTGTTCTTGTCTCTTTCGTTTCAGGAAATTTCCATGTTCACAAAATCGAACCAAATAACTATGTTCTAATGATAATCCTCTTCACTTGTAAGTGAAATTTCTGAAGTTCGTATCTCATGAATGAATTATTTGAAACCAAATCATTATTCTCACCCCTTAGTATAAATATATCATTGTATTAAAAGAAAAGAAAAAAATGAAATCAATTATCACAAAACCCCAAAGAAAACACTTCGCCGCCAAAACGTCAAAATCTCGACCCTAACACCCAAATCAACACTTGTTCATCCAAAGAAACTCATGGAACCAAGACAATGATAGAAGAATGGTGTTGGGGGTACTAGTACCCACGCCTCTTCTACACACGCATCATCAAGAACCGATAAGTAACCTGACATGCGAGAATATGACTTCGTTCTATTAGAAAGGAGCACCATTTTGCATATGCAAATTCATAACTTGACACTTCTTTACAAACGATATCAGAAGCAAATAGAGATTCATTACGCCAATCAAGCTTGGCAAGTTCTGTTGGATGTATGTCAACAATCTGTGATAATTTATATATGTTAATAAATAATAAATGCAATAGGAATTAACATAATATAAACTAGAATACGAATTATAAAAACAAACAACTTGAAGATCGAGGCTTGCGTACCGCAATGTCCTTGAAACAGAAATTTCGTCCCTACTCTGTGCTTGTAGTTCTACGGACGTCTGCTTCACCAGAATTCAACGATCAAGTTAAAATTCCAGCACCGGAAAATTTAACTTCTGGCGAATTTAGTGTGGTTCTCTTAGTAAGAAGGTTTAGGAATGTAGAAGATGAAGTTGATTATTTTATAGTCTACTAAATGCCACGAAGATGGATGCATGTTTGCAACAGGTATGAGAATGGGGTGTGACTGTTGGGAGACTTCTCTTCAAGAGGTGCTTTGCTCTGTGTTCAGAAATAACTCTCAGACTTCAAATTCGAATTTTAAAAAATAATTAATTAAATCCAAAAAATAATTAATTAAATAATTTAATTATTAGAGCCCGAGCCCAAGAGCCCCAAGGCCCAATGCCCATCTTTTGATAATTAATTATATATTAATTATATATTAATTACCAATTAATTAATGCACCCCAAAGCCCAGCCCCAAGGGTAAGCCCAATTTTAGTCTCCAGACCTATTACTCCAATCACTTTCTATAAAGGACAAAGCCTTATAAAGTGATAAAATCTTTTGGGAATGGTCAATGTGGGACAATGAAATGTCTACTCAAACTATTTAAATTTCCAACAATACCCCACATTTGAGTTGAAATTTCATTCAAACTCCAACAAGTTCATAACATGTCACTTCTTTGTAAGTGAGGATTCAAATTTAAGAATGGTATGATCACAACTCACACATCCCCTCAGAAAGGAGGTCGACGTTATATCTATCATCTGAGAAGTTGTCAACTTGTGTTTTCAAGTGTTACGAAAGCCTCGAGATGGTCTTTCACTTTGGGACGATCGACCAAGAAGATAGGTTAGACATGTGAAGGCATTAAATATTGGTGGACAAATATTGTGTAGAACAACACAATAATCCCAAAGAACCATTAGCTTTGTCTTGGGTTTAAATTTTAAGCAAGATTACAACCCTTTAAACGAATTATTTTTTCAATGTACCCGAAACACAGACATATGATGTTATTATTCTACTTAAATTATAACACTTAAATTTATTATTTATTTAATGTTTCACCTCTTTAGCCAGGATTATTGAATTAGCTAGGATTATAATATCATGTGTTGGTGTGTTCAAGGACTAACTTAAATGAGACTAGAAGGGACTCGTGTGGAAGTGTGATACCTATATATAAGAATTAGACAACTTGAGTTTGACACCTATAATACAATTGTTACACTAGTGTGGTTCAATATATTCACATCACACTCATGAGTCAAATATATTGGTATTACACTCAAAATTTCGACCCTACTGTAAGAGCGTGAAACATATATGAGTTCACTATATTAATATTGCACTCACTTTTTCTAGACTACTGCCAAACATTAGGGCCTCGTTTGGTACGTTTCACATTTCTGACTATTTCAGTCGAATAGACTAATTTGTACATTGGATAAGTACTGACCAATTATTTGGCGTACTGACTATGTTCTAAACGTTTGGTTCTTTGTCGGATTAAGAGGTAGGACTCTACTTATAATTTGTAATTGCTTGTTTACTAATTTTAGAATAATAATTCATACTAGTATATGCCCACACACTTTTGTGAAATTGTTTGCTTTTGTTTTTAAATTGAAGGAAAGAGGAAGAGACTGAGGACATGGGTGTAGGAAGAGGGAGAGATGTTTTTTAATTTTTAATTTTTTTAAATTAGAGATGATACAATCACTTGTAGGTGAAGCTTAAACAAAAAACAACAACATTTTGTTTTATGAAATTACCTTATTGTCCTTAACTTTTTTGTTGTGATAAAAGACAAAAATGTCTTTTCACCCTCTTTTGGTTGTGTTTCATTAATATGTAGTTTAGATAAAAGATCACAAATGTGTTTTTTTTTAATTAAAAAAGTACAAAAAACAAAAATGCTTGGACGAGATTTGGATGCTAAGGGTGCATTTGTTGAACCGGATTATCTCGGACTAGATTAACTTCTAGGACTAAGATGCACTGGCTTATAATAGACTAAACTAGACCAACTTAATGAAGTATTTGGTGATTTGTCGGACTAAAAAATGAGATAATGAAAATAGTAAAAAAATGGACCATATACAATCATAACAACAAAATTTCACATATACTAACCAACCTACAATCAAATCCTACATTGAAAAATACGTAGGAGGAGAAATTGCAAATTAACTCATAATCCACTCCAAAAGTTTGTTTTCTAGTATAAAACCAAAGATTTACATGCCCAATTCAAATCAAACCAAACAATAAATTGACACTGCCAATAAATTTCCCCTAAATTAAAATGATAAAAAAAATAAAAAATAAAAAATGGGGGAAAAACATGGAAAGAAGCGAATCAGTCTATCAGACCTCTGCGTAATTGAGATCCTCTATCTCCGAATCAAACCTCCAGCCGTGAGCCCACCATCGTCTCCTCATCCAACATCTCTTCTTCGATGACCCACCAGCATCCCCTCCTCCAATCGACGTGAATGTCCATGCCGCCAACAGTGAAGAGCTTTCTATGGCAAACTCGGCTTCGCTCTTGTCCTTTATGAAGTCGAAGAAGTGCAGAGCCGAAAATAAGTACATCTCACGACGATCGTCGCCATCGTTATCGGTAGGGTGGTCTGGCGAGGTCGGTTAACCAGACCAGAACAAAGAAGCAAGGAGAAAAACTGGATGAGAATGCGAACATTATTAGCAATCCAATGCTTATGGGGGGGTCTTGCTAAGACCTTCTAATGAAGGACTTAGTCGGGACAAGTCGGCTCTAATCTCATTAAATCTATTTCTACATGTAACAAACACGGTATTGGACTAATAGCTAGTCCAGTCCAAAGAGATTTAGTGAAGGCAAACAAACACATCCTAATTCCTTTATAAACACCGTGAAGATTGTCCGGCATAGTGGCTGAGCAAAGCTCTTAAACCCATGCTAAAATAGGATTCTTATTCCCAAACTACTATCTAAAAATCAGCCTAGGCAGGCTACACGATTCAGGGTTTATGGTTCCATTATTTTTTTAATTTATTTAATTAAGTTAAAGGTTTTTTGGGTAACCTACCCAAGAAGAACTCTTATTATTTCTCTTATTGTTTCGTGTTTCTCATCTCCCTGTCTCTCCGCACAGATGTGTTCTTTTTTTTTTCTCTCTCTCTCATCCGCTCACTTAGAATCTAACTATGCAGCTGTCGTCGCCTAAACTCAGGCACCCCAATGCCTTGGCTTATTCTGCAGCCTGTTCAAACTTTGCAAGTAAGTTTTCCATTTTTATTTTCTTTTTAGACTGTAATCTTTAATTTTCTTCATACTACAATTGAATGGTGTTGAATTATAGATACACCATTCCATTACATATGTTGATTCATTGAATTATTGATTAATTTGTGATGAAAAATGATGTCTATTTAAGATTATGAATTATTTAATTTTCAAATTTGGTTGGATTTTGGGTTTTTTTTTGTAATTTTTGCTGCATTAGTCTGTGATGATGCTAATGCTACAATGGCTTAATTTTTAACTTTCTCAAAGTCTCAATACAAAAATAATTTTTTTAGAGTGTACGTAGGCAACTATTTCTATGTTATATAATAAATTTAATTAAATTCACCTAGTCTGCCTAGCCGCTACATAGGCCCTCTAATAGTCTAGGCGCTTAGCCCTAGCACGCCACACGACTAGCACCTAGTGTCTAACGTCTTTTAGGACCTTGCCCTAAACTAGCATCAAGATTGAAGATAAATTGATTCGAATTCGACCAAAATATATACAAGAAATTGCATAAAATTGCATAAGAAACCCAATTACATATTGCATAAGCAATTGGGTTTTAGAGGCAGATGTTTTGTTGCTAATCAATTAGGGCTAATAGAGTTAGATTCGAATAGGGTGAGTTGTTCAAGTAAGAAATCAGGAGGAGGAAGTGGGAAATGGAGGGGGGAAAAGGAGAAAGAAGAAGAAGGAGGAGAAATTCTTGACGTTGACGATGGCAAACACAAGTAGCTGGAAGATGATTCGCGAGGAAGGGGTTAAGAAAGTAGCAAGTCTGCTTTTGTTAGCAACCCGACTAATTATACATAGATTTTGGAGTGTATAAGTTAGCGGGTGTGAGCTGTATAAAATAGGTGGGTTCGGATTAATTTATATGGTTCTCATTTAATACAAATGGCACCAAACACCAGATTTGTACTAAATAACACTGTTCTAAAAATCTCCACCGCCGCCTAGGAGCTAGGCGGCTGGCCACCATCCCGAATAGTCCCTAGACGTCTGAAAATTAAGAAAGTGCGCTTAGACCTACTTAGGTGTCCGCGTAGCCCACCTAAACTCGCCTAGGTCACAACTCTCACTTAGACAGAAAATCAATAACTTTCATTTTGCATTTTATTATTTCAACAAAGTATAAGAGACTTATTGAATGCTTAGATGAACACTCATTATATATTTGTTTCTCATGTTTTCAATATGTTCTAAAACTTCATATCTATATGTCACTTTATTTAGCAATTTATATATACAATTATGTGTTTTTAAGTATAAATAGGCACCAACCCGCCGCCCGACTAGTGCCTAGTGTCTTTTAGAACTTTGCTATATAGTACTATCCGTATCTGATACGGGCTGCCAGTCTTGCTAACGCAACTCCAGAAACCACTCGACATATGTGGTTCTTCAACCGTTATTGCCTTTGCGTGAACCTTTTCCATAAGTGACCTTCTTACCGATTTCCTTTATCTCTCTCGCCTCTGACCTTCAGTCCCCATGTCCCCTCCCACATTGCGTTGCCTGCAGTCTGACGGTCTGGTCGCCGAAACCAACCTCTCTAAGCAACTCTGACAACCTCGTCTACAGAGTCCAGCCGCATGTTCTTCCCAACAAATGATATAAACCTCAGCAAATTGAACTAACCTAGAAACGTGAGCTTTTCAATTTGAGAATTACTGATTAAAAATTAACCACCATGAATAAAAAAACAACACTGTGAAGATGAAAATGAAAAAGGGAAATTGAAGTGGGTTTTGGCTAGAAGTGATGGGTCAAAACCTCTGCAAAAAACCCTCTGTGATCAATTTCTATATAAAATGATTTTTATGTCATTTATCTTTGCAAAGAATGGCCATATAGAACAAGGATTGACATCGATTCTAGATCATATTTTTACAAATGTGGTCAGCTAGGCTCTATGATGATTGTGGTATACAGTGAGAAATCGTGGGTGGCTCATTTTTTGACTCCTTGGTCGTTTTCTTTAATTTTTTTTTAATTAAACGATATTAACTACACTAAATGGGGTAGTGGAGTGGGCTAAGTCTCATAATGGGCTAGCAATAATGTGGTTCAAATTCGTCTTTGATAAGAATCGAATCTAAAACCTTTCACTTACAAATGTGGTCTGCTAGGCTATGTGATGGTTGTGGTATATAGTAAGAAATCGTGTGGGTGGTTCGTTTTTGACTTTGTCTTTATTTTATTTTATTTTTATAATCATTTTGAAATAAACGATATTTCTACACAATAGGGTAGAGAAGTGGGCTAAGCCTCACGATAGGCTAATAATAATGTGGTTCAAATTCGCCTTTGACGAGAATCGAACATCAAACATCTCACTTACAAATGTGGTCCGCTAGATTATGTGATGATTGTGATATATAGTAAGAAATCGTGTGTGGCTCATTTTTGACTTTCTGGTCTTTTTTTTTTTTTTGAAATAAACGATGTTATCTATACTAAGGGAGTGGGGGAAAGTGGATTAAGCCTTACAATGTGTTAGCAATAATATGATTCAAATTCGCATTTAGCGAGAATCGAACCTAAGATCTCTCACTTACAAATGTGGTTCGTTAGGCTCTGTGATGGTTGTGGTATATAGTAAGAAATCGTTGGTGGCTCGTTTTTTATTCTCTGGTCGTTTTTTTTTTTTTTGAAATAAATGAAATTATCTACTCTAAGGGGGTGGGGGAATGGGCTAAGCCTCACAATGGGCTAGCAATAATGTGGTTCAAAATTTCCTTTGGAGAGAATCGAACCTAAGACCTCTCACTTACAAATTCGCTCAGCTAGGCTCTATTAAGGTTGTGGTATATAGTAAGAAATCATGGGTGGCTCGTTTTTTACTTTCTGGTTGTTTTTTTAAACAAACGATATTATTCACACTAAGGGAGTGGGGGAGTAAGCTAAACATCACAATTGGCTAGTAATGATTCTCTGGTCATTTAGATTCATTGGGTAGAAGCAAATTGGAAAAATGGAAAATAAAAGGTTTTTTAGCTAAAATGGTCTCTAAGATTAACATAACTCCTCATTTTGATCCATAAGATTTGAAATCAATAGAAGTAGTCCCTGAGTTTATCCATCAATCATTTAGGTCATTTTGTAAAAAATTATGTTACATAAGAATCAAAATGGAAAAAATACCCTCAATTTAATAAACAATGGGCTAGAGTGAATTGACAAAAATAATTTATTCTTATTTAATAGAGATTTTTCACGAAATGACCAAAATGATTGATGGTGGACTAACTCAGGGACCACATATATCGATTTCAAATCTCAATGACCAAGATCAAGAGTTATGACAATCTCAGAGACCATTTTGACTAAAAAAAAAATGAGTTCCAAAAATATATTTGTCCGAGATTAATGATTCATTAATCCAATGTAATTTAGTCCAAGTCAAG